CTACACTAAGAGACAATCAAGGGAAGTATAGAGGAAGCTGCTATGTAAATCTGAAGAAAGAAAAGTGTGTGAAAAGATAACTTGCCATGGGCAGGAACCGAACCTGCGACCTTCGAATAACGCGTTCGATGCTTTACCACTGAGCTACCACGGCGGCTATCCCCCCAGCCACTTTGTTGGGTACATATGTGAATTTAAACGTGGGAGTGTCAGTCCGCACCACCAGTAGCCATGGCGGCAAGTGTGGTACACTCTTTATGAGCCTGTTTGGCGTCACGTAGCACGTGAACATATTACGAGCTGGCACCTGGCCAATAGTACCTCGTATACAACCTAAAGGCACGAAGTCTGCCAGTACGAGACCTCGTTAATGATTAGAAAAAGAAATGTATACTTAAGGGCTTCTTTTTTTTGTGCTTGACACAATATTAATGACATCTAACAGACAATAATGCCAAGGAAAGTATAGGGGATTCTACTAGATCGAATTGTAATGTATTGCCCCACGATAATGTTCTGGTGCTAAATATTGCCATGTTGAGGTTCCAATGGCAGCCTGTCTGAACCCCGAGTCATATTTGCGAGATTGTTTCAGCGCGCGAACAAAGGAAAAAAGACCGGGTAGACAGAAAGAGCGCTGACTTCCAACTAACTTTATTTCACAGAGTGGTGAGAATATATACGTCTAAAAAGGATGATTACAGAGCATGAAGGTAAAAAGCAAGCCTAATCTACGCATCAGTAACAAAGCACGTGTGACGGGTCCTCTATTGCCTGAAAGCCCAGCCAGGTAATCACGTTCAGCTTGTGATAAAGCAACCGAAGAAGTGCTTACGCATTTATCTCCTAGCACGTGTATTTTTTCGGCTTGGATAATTTCTCGGGTAAGCTGGTCCCTGTGCCTTGCCAATATAGAGCACTGATCAAAGAGGGGGGTGCACCCAGAATCTTGGCAATGAATGCCAAGATGCCCTTGTACCATATTGTGCACATTATTTCGGTGTTCCCGGAGGCGGTCATTTATGCACCGGCCGGTTTGGCCGACATAGATGCACCCACACGTCAGTGGAATCAAGTAAACGACTCCCACTGCGCATGGGACGTAGCGTGTCCTGTGCGCGATAGAGCAGGAGGCAGAATTTGCGCGAGATGTATTGACCTGTTTGCAAAGATTCTGCAATTTTTCCGGTGCTGAAAAAACCACAAGAACGTTGGAGTCTCGAGCAATCTTTTTTAGCCTGTGTGAGACGTCGTGCACGTACGGTAGTACGACCGGCCGGCTCTTTCTGACACTGTTGCGCTTATTCGGTTTGTCGCCTCGCTTCACGACAGTGACCAGCTTTTCCGCCACCGAAACGAGAACGTGCGCGGGGTAACCAGCTTAGGTGAGACGCTCCACTTGTAGAGCAAAGCTGCGGTGTACCATGTGGGGTCATGGTACACCGCAGCTTTGTTACTGATGCGTAGGTTAGGCTTTCTTTTTACCTTCATGCTCTGTAATCATCCTTTTTAGACGTATATATTCTTGCCACTCTGTGAAATAAAGTTAGTTGGAAGTCAGCGCTCTTTCTGTCTACCCTCTCCTTTTTTCTTAGTTCGCGCGCTGAAACAATCTTGCAAATATGACTATACGCACCAACTAGCCCAAGATTCCGCTCTTGTGAACCCAGAGGTTCTAGTACCCTCTGCTGCGTCGCAGATCTGACCACCACCATGGTCAGTTGTTTCGCAGTCGCTAGGGACTGAGGGCCGAGCGCGAACTGGCATATCCGTGTGGGAGGTAGTGGCCAGATAATGCACCAGGGTGGCCAATCCTTAATTCTCTGTTGAAAAGCAGCAGTAGGGAAGAAGCAGGCTGGAGACCAGGCAGTAGGGTATTATGGCATTGGTACTTGAAATGCCAGAGGGGCGTTATTAGTCGAATTCGTAGAACGCAATAGTTTACAGATCTTGAATACCTTCTACCGAAAACAAGTGAACAGTAGGTGGACGTGGAGGCACCCTAATGACGAAAGTAAAAACGAAATATTCTTTATACTGAGTGCACACTCAGGCATCGTGCAGGATGTGGAAGTGCTTGGCAAGGTACGATGCAGTGGCCATATAATAATTGTAAGATCTCGAATTCACCTAGACTTGAAGAAGGAACATTGGTAACTGTTACGCAAGAAGCCAATCAATGAGCTAGCACAAAGATGGAAAGTACAGGAATTCAGAGTATCGCTTCCGAACAGATAATCGGCTCTTACCGAGGGAACCAGCCTTATCATTGAACGCAATGAATGTAAGAACTATAAGGTACCCCAGATGACATCCCACCAGTAATGACAGAAGCCAGGAAAGCCTTGAAGAGAATGCAAAGAGGCAAAGCTGCTAGTGAGGATTAGGTCAAATCAGATCTGCAGAAAGATGGAGGAGAGATTATGTTAGAAAAACTATGAACCATGTCCCCGAAAGAAACTCTGATGAGATAAGAAGCGTCAGTGGTGCGCGCGGCGTTGACTGGGTAGAAACGGGCGTCGATGCGGGTGCTGGAAGAACGGTTTGAAGCGACACTCGGTACAGCATTTACTGGAGTAAACGTTTGTTTGAAGCGCGAAGGCACGGAAGGAGGGACGCGTTCAGGACGCTTGCGCTAGGCTTCCTCAGCTCGCGTATCGTCGGTGTTACCCACGCGTCGTCTCTATTCTCGAACACGATTGGCGTTCTTGACTCACACCTCGTCGGTGTCGTTGGTCTTCCACTGCCGACGCTTGCGCTATAGGATCCCCTGGCTCGCGCCTCACTGGTGTTCTAAGCGCGACGTCGCCATTCGCGAACGCGATCGGCTTTGCTAATTCGCAACGCCGGCAACGGCCGAGAAAGGTACGCGCACACTAGCGGGAAGCGTGACCCGGCGTTGTCCGGCCCACCGGCGTGATCGCATGGCAAGCAGTGGCGCACTGTCCACATTGCCGGCACCACAGGACCACGGCCGGGCTAGACGACGGCTCGCGAGCGTGCGCAGCGCACCCACCCGCGGCTTCTTCTAGCCAACAGATGGATAAATGTGGCGCGGTTGAGATGATGCCAACCGGAGGAGTGGGCTTGAGCATTGCGAAAGGGGGAGAGGGTGAAGCGAGGGTGATGACACGCGGCGAGCGGCGACAGACTTGGGAGAGCGTGACGTCACGCACGCGCACTGCAAGGGAAGGCGTGGCCTACTTGGCACCACCTCAGTGCGGAGGGACCACGTTACACAGACTAGTCTAAGAGCTGCTTCATATCTAAAACTATAGCTACCCTGTTTACGAAGTGTCTCCTGACGGCGATGGTACCAAAATATTGGAACAATGCTTACATCATCCTAATTCACAAGAAAGGGGACAAGGACTTGAAGAATTACAGGCTGGTCAGCTTGCTCTCATTGGTATACGAGCAATTTACAAAGGTAATTGCTAACAGAAGTAAGGCACCATCAAAATTCAAGTAACCAAAAGATCACGTAGGACTTCGTACAGGCTACTCAACAATCTACCACATTCATACTATCAATCACATGACAGAGAAATGCTCAGGTTACACTCCACCACTATACATAACCTTCATATGTTACGAGAAGGCATTTGATTCAGTAAATATATCAGCAGTGATGCAGACACGGCAGAATCAGGGCGTCGACGAAGCATATTTAAAGATTTTATTGATATGTGGGATTTAACATCCCCAAACCACCATATAATTATACGAGACGTCGTAGTGGAGGGCTCCGGAAAGCATATATAAACGTGCTGGAAGAAATCTACAGCGGATAAACTGCCACCATAGTGCTCCTCTAAAGAAAGCGACATAATACCAATAAAGAAAAGTGTAAGACAAGGGGATACGATCTCCCCATTGCTATTCACCGCATGCTTACACGAAGTTTTCGGAGGCCTATAATGCAAAAAGCTAGGAATACGAGTTAATTGTGAGTACCTTAGCAACCTGCCCTTCACGGAGGATATTGCATGGCGTAACTCAGCGGACAAATTGCAATTTTTTATTACTGAATTATACAAGGAGAGCAGAAAGGTGGGTCTTAAAATTATTCTGCAGAAAGCAAAAGTAATGTACAAGAACCTCGGAAGAGGACAGCGCTTCGAGATAGGTGGCAGTGCACTTCAAGTTGTAAAGGAGAACGTCTATTTATGACAGGTACTAACCGCGGAGCTGAACCACGAGATTGAAGAGACAGCAGAATAAAATGGGGTTGAGCACATTCGACGAGCATTCTCAAATCATGAATGGTAGATTGCCACCATACCTCGAGTTGAAGGCATATAACTGCTGCATCTTCCCGGTACTTACCTACGAAGCTGAAACCTGGAAATCTACAAAGAGAATTCAACTTGAGTTGAGAACGACGTGGTGTGCAATGGAAAGGAAACATATAGGTGTAACCCCAAGGGGCAAGAAGAGTCGAAATTGAGAAGAAATGGCCATGAGCAGGGCACGAAACGCGAAGGCATGATAACCCCATGGTATATTTAAGGATCACACACTAGATTTCCAGATTAGGCAAGCGGGTGAGGGGGATTAAGTGGGCAGATGAGATTAGGAAGTTTGCGGGTATAAAGTGGCGGACAGCGCAGGACCGAGTTAACTGGCAAAACATAGGAGAGGCGTTTGTTCTGCATTGGGCGTATTCAGGCTGATGATGATGACGAGGAGACTTATGTCGAATTCCAATGGTGGAGTTGGTGCAGCCGACCGACCTTGCGAGCGAGCACTCGACTCTGGCGTAGAGCAAATCCTCCAAATCCGCCATCGGAGCACAACCCGCCCTGCTGGAGCAAGGTGGAAGCTGCCGCGTTACCCAGGATATCTTGCGCGTGGTCTCTTCCGCTGTCTGTTTCCAAGGTGGTTTACCAGCATCGCCGCATCGTTCGTTTGCTTGTTCAGTGCTATTCACCTGTGTGGAATGGATATCACGCCAAGCGTGCAACAGCTATTGTCCACGATGTCTGCGATAATGATCACACAGTATGCGGAGCAACATGGTAAGTGTCTCCTCAATTTCAACACTGTGCTGTAATTGTAAGTTGAATGCAACACACGTGTTGCGTGGAGCGATTGTCTGCACGCGCTATGTTCATGTTGCAACGTTGCTTTACTGCTGATGCGATCGTGTCACTGAAACGCATCGCATGCGTCATACCGTTGTTCATTTGCCTGTGTCCGTGGAGAACGAAAACCTTCGCCGCATTGATTGCACAAACACCGCTGTGAATATATAGCCAAAAGTAAACGTGCGCGCAACGCCGCTGTTCTTGCACGGAACGGCGTCATTAGTAAGAAGCGACTTCCTATCACTTTAGAATGTAGCCACACGAATAGAAACGAACCGCGTTGGTGACAAGCGTGTTTGGTATAAGGGCATTTTGACCGATCGTCCAGGGCTGTGCGTCCCCTGTAGCCTGTATGTAGCCACCTCTAGTTTAGTTCTTGCAGTGTTCACTAGATGGCGGTACCGTCCCCTGTATGTAGCCACCTCTAGTTTAGTTCTTGCAGTGTTCACTAGATGGCGGTACCATCTCCTGTATGTAGCCACCTCTCGTTTAGTTCTTGTAGTGTTTACTAGATGGTGGTACTTGTAGCTGATGATGAAAAGATGCAAGATATTATAAACTAGAAAGCGGTACTTGTAGTTGATGAAAGACGCGAGATCTTATAAAATAGGAATGATGTCACATATGGCGCGTGTCATTGGTTGAAGGCAATCGTTCGATTTAGTGCGGCGACGTACGCTAGGGGGAGCGATGTAATAAAATCGAGTGGGCAAAATGTACAGAGGATTCATGGTTTACCAGGTTTACCTCCGGAGCTTCGCCCACTCATCATCATTCGCTTCGTGGATATGGCGGAATTTTTTTCTGCCCCCTACTCCGCTCCCGCGGCGAGTCTCCCGATTTCAGAAGTCCCTAGGTTGGCAGGTACGCATTTGCGGCGAGATACCTCCAAAGTAACGCTGTTACCGTACAAGCACAACGCAGTGCGAGCGTTTCAGTACTGCACTACTATGTGGCAAGTTCCAGTGCACTCGCCTTTCAGTGGAAGTGGCGCAGAAGCATTGTCTGCCTTTATATGTCTCGAAGAAACTATAAGTCAGTGTTACGCACCCGAGAATTTGACTCCCAGGAAATTTAAGCTGCAGAGGTAGCAGCGTGAGTGCATGTTCTGCTATCTAATGGGTTGGCATTGTTACCAAGGTTAGGACATTGAGCACATCCAAATTAGGAATCGGTCTCAGTCCACAGAAATTAAGTTGCTTTTCCTGGAGTGTCACTGCCTGTTTCAGGCCTGAAAGATCGTGCTTCATTTTGATTAGCAGTCAGCTGATCAGAAACTCTGTGCATCATGATGAGAGTGTGTAATTCAATCAAGAATGTGCACAATGTGTTGAGCTACTGTTGAAGAACTTGCATGCCACCACGTATGCTTACGTGAAATTGTTATTCAAAATTTTGTGTCGTGATGAGATAGCATAGCAAACATAAAGTTACTGTTTTGTGAAGCTGTGTTAGGAAGCCTCACATGGCTTAGCTTAATTGCATACATAGTTGCATGAAATTCACATGGTGCTTCAATATACAGCTATTTGTGTCACAGAACACAAATTGTTGGTCGTTATGTCGCTTCATGTATGCCAGCTGTATGAATAACAATGCATTTGGTTTTTCCATTCACAGTGCCGGAACACAGCCAAAAGAGCGAGCAACGCAGTAAGTTCATTTATTTATTTATTTAGAGAATACTGCAGGCCCATTTAGAGGCCCTAGCAGGAGAGGATACAAATGCATTCAAGTAACGAATTATACATGATATATACAGTTACATCAGTGCAAAGAACACCAAGCACTGTAACGACAAAAATCAAAGTAGAAAAATCGATATCAAGACAAACTAAAACAGGTTGGTGCTTATATATGCCTATAAGCTCTACAATTAATACCAACACAGCAGAATACCACAACTCTCTAACACCTGTGCCGGGTTACGTGCAACTGGTAACGTCTGTACAAATGTCTCAACCACTTTTTGTTTTCAGGTGCAGCCTGTGAGTGGACGGCGGGACAAACAAAGCTGTTGCTCGACTACTACCAGAAGTAGTTTTCCTAAATAGGGCCAATGAAGAAATTTAAAAATAAAAAGGCAATGTTTGCCAAAATAGTGGCCAACATCACAGAGGCTGTCGGGGTCCCTAAAACAGGGGACCAGTGCTGCAGCCGCTACAAAACAGTCATGCGACGAAAAAGAAGCGCTGCAGCACATAACAACAAATTGGGGAATTCTCCTTGCGACGTTCCCTTTGAAGACGACATAGCCAAAATACGTTGGCTAGATGATAGCCTTGAGCCAGAAGAGCTCAGGGACAGCTCTGGAATAGTTTCTATTAAAAGACCGCCCAGCCATGCGTCGACGAGGCAATCGTCAACAAGCCAAGCATATAGGAGCCAGGAGCTGACAAGCGAAGTGTAATGAAAGTAGTGCCACAAGGTAGTAGTGGGATTGGGGCTTATTATTCTTTATCGGTGCCAAGGTTCGTCACGCTTGTTTTGCGTGTCGTGCGAGGAGAAAGGGACTTTGTGACGACGCGGTAACAACACACGCGACGTTTCTGACAGAGCACAAAACAGAAACATAGAACATAGAACCAGAAAAACCGTGAAGCCGAATAAGTAACAAAACTGCCTGATCGAATGAGAAAACTACAGAACGCCAGTTCAAGGCGGAAAGTTCCTAAACCTCACGATGAGATGCGGGCCCGACGAACGCCGAGGTGCAGGGCAGGAGGCGGCGACAGGCGATCGGAAGCGGGGTGCGTCTCAATGTGTGACGCTATGGTGACGATGACGCTTCGTGGAGTGGTGGCCTGAGTACGACTACGGAGCAGTCAACCCGCATCGGAGACGCAACGCTCCCTGCGGGGAATGGCCAACCCGTCCAGCGAAAAGCGTGCGCCGAGACGCGATGCTCGGCGCAACCGTGACCATTAGCCAGGCCACGTTCATCGCTGTGCCGAAAGGCTGACCGTGGAGACGCCTCGCCGAGATCCGCGATGCCCTCGGCAAGGAAAAGAACAGCAGGCCAGGCCACGCCCCGAGATGCAGTACTCGTGCCGGCAACGCCACCCCAGCTGGTAGTTGGACGGCAATAGCGTGGACAGCCGCTTTCTCTGGTCGGAACCTGGATCGCCTGCGTCCGACGCTTCCGCCCGCTGTCTCCCGTCTGCCACTGCTTCGGCTCATCCCCAGCCACAAAGCTTAACTCCACGTAATGGTCACACGTGGCCCAATCGTGGTACGCCACCTCTATGGGACACCACAGGTCATCAGCTGATTGGCTGACCTCACGCGCGCAATACACGCGCCTTGCCCCGCACTTCAGTCGTTGTCATCGTTTTCTTCACTCATCACAATAACCCCCCACACAAGAAAGTTGTTTCCACAAAACAACTTTTCTCACACAACAAAGTGATGAGCGACAGAAAAACATGCAACTTCCAACAATATCCGGAGATGACACTGCCGATCTGTCTTTACAATGATACAGTCCAGAAGAATGATAACTTTTTAAATTAAACATGCATACGGGCAACAAAAACCAATCACTACACAAGATTTCATTCTCTTATGTACTAAACAGTCCAGAACTTCCTTGGATACACTCATGAGTTCTTAAACAACAGCAACTCAGTCTTCTAGTATAGGCTGCCTTCACTCAGTCTTCACAGAGGCTGAGTTTATCAAGTCCAGCTTACTTTATATTCTTCTGGAAGCGTAGCATGAAACTAAGCAGCGCTTTCGAGCCCTCATTTCTTTTTCCTCAGCGCTCACCCATGCCAGCAAAGCCTCTCCACTCAGCCCCATCTCCTTCCCTAGCTCAACTAGCTTTCTCTTGTCGTCCATTCTCATCTGCCACACACAAACAACGTGAGGCTCCTAAATGTAACGTGAGAGCTTAGTCCTGTCACGCGGACGCCAGATATTGTGATGGTTAAGGACGTTCGTCACTATGTTTGTCTATAGCGGACGAGAAAGAATTAACATGAGCAATTTAAACGAACAAAAGAAGCTTTATATTGTACACTAGAGAAGGAAGTGGCAGGAGAAAATAAAACTACATATATCCAACCCTATACGCCAAGCATCACGCAACATGCACGAGAGTCAGACCGACATTAATCTGCGCAGAGTTCGCGGTTACGCTAACTCAGTGTCCAGCGCGTATAGTTCTCGGTTCGTAAGGAGAAACCGCTGTCTCACAGTTTGGGTCCCCGTCATCCCGACATGATGCGGTCGTCGACGTGTGCGAGGGCAAAGGTGGCACGGCTGGAACGGCTGACGGCACACGGATGCGCTACCGTGTGCAGCGCCGTTGAGTCGGACGTCGCGGCTAACCCAGCAGTCAGGGTCGCAACTCCTGAGGTCCAGGATCAGGCCACGGCTCACGAGGACCACACCCGGTAGGCCTCGCCCATGAACCTGCTCCCGGCCACTGCACCCAGGCAGGAGCCGTTCAGCAGGCCCCGACCTTGGACCTTGTACAGACCGACGGACTCGACCTCGAACAGACACACCGGAGCTCGACCTGGCTGACACGTACGGGTCCCACGTCCGGCTCAGGAACGCTGCCAGGAACTCGTCCTCTCGAGCGGCGCACCGCTTCCTCTGCCTTCGTGGCCTCAACCCTCGAGCTCTCTTTTCCTCACGTTCCTTCTTCTTCTCCTCCCCTGAGGCCCAGATCGACGGTACGGCAGACGCCGATGAGGTGCAGGGCAGGAGGCGGTGGAAAGGCGTTGTAGAATGCGCTCACTTGCCGATGTGCGACGCTCTGGTGACGACGGCATTTGACGGCGTGGGTGCGACTACGGAGCAGTCAACCCGCCTCGGAGACGTGATGCTCCATGCGTGTAAATGGCCAGCCCGTCCAGCGAACAGCTTGCGTCGAGACGCGATGCTCGGCGCAACCGTGACCATTAGCCAGGCCACGTACGTTGCTGTGCCGAACGTCTGACCACGGAGACGCCTCGACGAGATCCGCGATGCCCTCGGCAAGGAAGAGAACAGCAGGCCAGGCCGCGCCCCGAGATGCAGTACTCGTGCCGGCAACGCCACCCCAGCTGGTAGTTGGACGGCAGCAGCGTGGACGGCCGCGTTCCCTGGCCGGAACCTGGATCGCCTGCGTCCGACGCTTCGGCCCGCTGTCTTCCGTCTGCCGCTGCTTCGGCTCATCCCCAGCCACAAAGCTTACCGCCACGTAATGGTCACACGTGGCCCAATCGTGGTACGCCACCTCTATGGGCCACCACAGGTCATCAGCTGATTGGCTGACCTCACGCGCGCATTACACGCGCCTTGCCCCGCACTTCCGTCGTTGTCATCGTTTTCTTCACTCATCACACCAAGGTTCAACTAGCCAGGAGTTGATCAGCACAACGAAGGAACCTGAGCCCAAAAAGCCGAAACTCTCGGCTTCTAGAATGCTGGAAATCAATCACTTCTTTGACGAAATGAGCGAAATTCAGGAAGAAAAAAAATGAACTGAACGCGAGAATGAAAGAAGGAAGCGTCATGAAGAGAGGCAAGAACAGAAGGAGCGCATTCGGCAAGAAAAAGCAAAACAGCATGAAGAAAAAATGAAGCTTTTGAGCCGCTTTCTTGGAATAGACAATGAATGATTCCAGTGGCCTAAAATACAATTAGCATGTTGAAATAAAATGTACAGTGCGAAACATGTGCTTGTGTACATAACGGGGGCTGCGCATTGGTGCACACACACAGCCTTCCAACTACTGTGGGGAACTAAAGGGCTAGTTCAGACAAAACAGAGAATTATGGTGTTATTTCCCCCAATCACTTCGCAGGAGCTTAGTTAAGACCTTTGCACGCTTAATTTCGCCAAGCTTGTGCAAAGCTCGCTCCTCATCAGTTTTATCACTGTGGTTATCAGTGCAGTTCTCCCACTGAATAGCATGGGGTGCTCCATCATCATCATTATCATCATCTGGCTCTTAATCACCGTAATCGATGCCCAAGTTATGAAGGATACAGCAGCTTATGATAAACTTATTGAGCCAGTGGATAGTGTGCAACTCCAGGTACATGAGCTGCCTGAAGCGCTTCTTGAGTGTGCTGAATGCATTTTCAATGAGCACTCGTGTGCCTGAAAACTTAAAATTGAAGCCTTTTTGTTGCTTATTCATTGCACCGTAATCTCTGTATGGTGTCAACAGGTACTCCCGCAGTGGATATGCTGCGTCCCCTAATATATGATAACGGCCCTGACATACTGAAGCTATGTTCTTTGAAAGAGGCGATAAGCTAAACACACGAGAATCGTGCATTTTGCTGGAGGTTCCAGTGAACGCATCGAGGAAGCGCCTCTTGTGGTCACAGACGGCTTGCAGCGTTAGTGAAAGGTAATGGTGCCTGTTGCAGTATGTGGAGGCAACCTTGTTGTCTGGGCACTGTATCTTGACATACGATCCATCTATACAGCCAATAACAGCAGGCATTCCAGACACCTGCAAGCAAGTTGTACTCTTCTAATGAGTGATATCATCCATGCCTGAGCAGGAAATGAGCATTTGAGAGGAGTTTTAACAGAAAATACTGGTGCTCAAGCCCATTAACTCACAATCACAGTATATGCTTAATGACTCAGCACAATATATTTTATGTTAAAGATGCAAAATTCAAACCAAATTCAACTTTGAGAACTAGTTAAGATAACATACATTGCTGTCCACACCATATACTGCACGTTTTCTTGCTATCCACCTCTCTTTTTACAATGGTAAAATGGGAGAGAAAACAAAACAAAGCCTGCGTATGTTTTTTCCTAAAGGGAGTTGAAGTACGTAATTGGAATTTAACTCTTAAATTTAAAACCAAACATCGTCCATATTGCATCGTACATCTGAACAGAAATGACAAAGCATGCAGCATCATCCGCATGCAAGGAATCGACTGTGACTGCAGGAGAGACATAAGTTGAATGTTTCGAACACAACTGGATGAAGCTCGGTATTATCATCACGACCTATCACATTTTTCTTAAAGTCCCACCTCAGCGTAAAATTGAGCTTGAAATAACCCACAATAAAATGTGCACTCGTGTTCGTAATGTGATCAATATAGCTTGGCCGGCCAATATTATTGGTCCTCACGATAAATGAAATCAAAACAAACCTTCTCAAAACTGCTAGTGAGGTTCTCCAGGTCTGCGGGAAACTTGATCACCGATGGTCCCAGCGTCATCAGGAACTGCACTACTCTCTGAAGAACTCTGTACACGGTGCTTTCTGACATGTCGAGACGGCTTGCCACGTCTCGCATGCAGGTTTGGTTGGCCGCGTACCTGCGCAGGGGGATTACAGGTACCCGAAAAAAAAAACAGCTTCAGATCACACTGCACTGTAAGCAGCGGGCTCATAGTCAAATGCGTTCTTGTGCAGGCATCGTACAAAGAAAAAAAGGGGGTGAAGGTGGGGAGGTGTAATTAACCAGATAAATGTCAAGATATGCGTTTCCGCGGATTTCGCTTGAACTCCTCCGTGTGTGCTCGAAGGGCACATTGACGAGACAGCAAACTCCGCGACCAACTTTTCGGCCACAGGTCGAGCCAGTTTAAGTGCCTCTGGAACTGCTCAAGAAAAGAAACAAACGAAAACACCATAACGTGTTAAATTTTGAGCATAATGCTTTCCTTCTTTTTTCTATTTCTTTACCTCGTGGTCCGAGTACTGCCGAACGACGTCCTCGATGAAACCGACAACTTTGGGCTTCTTCGAGGGAATGCGGAACAACTTGTTGAATTCCCGCTCGTAAGCGCAAGCTTTAGTGTCGCTGTCACTGTCCGACGAATCACTCGTGTCGGTACTTGAGCTTTCCGACTCAGAGCTGTCGATATCGAGTAGCAGAAGCATTGCCGCACGCTTTGCCGAGGTAGCCGAGCCGTCCATGCCATCCGCCATTATCAACACAACTCGCGCCGCGCCAGCCGCGCCCCCAAGCAGGCAAACGTGTTAAAGGAAATGCGTCCCGCTGAGTTCTGGTCCACTCCACCGATTTCGGCGGAGCAGTTTTTCCTGCTCCACGGAGAAACTCCCGCTCTGAATCCCCTCCGGCTCTCTCATTAGAACTTTTAACTCCCGCTCTCACTCTGTCATTGGAACACATTTGCTCTGAAAGGAGCCGAAAAACTTGCTCCGACTCCGCGTTTGGAATTCAACATTAGAAGTACAGTGGCGATCAAAAGTCTGGAGACCACGGGAGTGCGTGGCCAACAGCATCACGGCTAGCAGAAAAGCTTGAAAGCGCTCACTGCGCAAGCGCATCCTTTCCTACCTGCCAATCCTTTCCTACCTGCCGCAAGCGCATCCTTTCCTACCTGCTTTCGTTCCGTTTAACTGCGAGTACACCGGAACTTCAGAGAAATCGCGAGGTGTCATTTTTCCATGCCCCGCGGAAGCACCGAGCAATGATACCGCGACAAAATATCTACCTTGTAGGGGCAGCGCTCCCAAGACGCCGCCTCTTTGCCTTCGTTCCAGACGTTCCACGGCGGCGAAAACACACGTGCTTCGCCAAGAAACAGGACTGCTCGGTAATCTTACCGCATGCGCAGATTAAAAAAAACAACTAACGCAATTTGCGTGTTATCACCACCGCGGAGCGTCTAGAACTGAGGCGCAAAAGCTGCGCACAACGAGGACTGCCCTACGAATAGATATTTATTTCGCGATATTATCGCTAGGTGCTTCCGGATGGATGGATGGATGGATGGATGGATGGATGGATGGATGGATGGATGGATGGATGGATGGATGGACGGATGGATGGATGGACGGACGGACGGATGGATGGATGGATGGATGGATGGATGGATGGATGGATGGATGGATGGATGGATGGATGGATGGACGGACGGACGGACGGACGGACGGACGGACGGACGGACAGACGGATGGATGGATGGATGGATGGATGGATGGATGGATGGATGGATGGATGGATGGATGGATGGATAGATGGATGGATGGATGGATGGATGGATGGATGGATGGATGGATGGATGGATGGATGGATGGATGGATGGATGTGGCTGTACCCTTTAGATCGGGCGGTGGCTAACGCCAACTAGCCGTAATATCTAGTGAACTAACCACTAGATTTGTCTTTTTTTCCTTTAAATAGTAAAGTTGGACGGGTACTTTGCAGTGCAGGGCTTAATTTTCACTCGTGCCTTGACTTTACCCACCTATCAGATAACCTCCTTCTAGTTAAGTCTACCCGCGTAAAGTCTATTTTGCCCTCCCTGTCCCTAAACCCCAGTGCTTCGAAAAACTCTGCGCCATCATCCTGAACTATAGGGTGAAGCCCTTTGCAGAACATAATCAAGTGTTCGGCAGTTTCTTCTTCCTCTCCACACGCACTGCATACTGTGTCTACCCCTTCGTATTTGGCCCGATATGTCTTGGTTCGCAATACTCCCGTCCTGGCCTCAAACAGTAGAGAACTATGCCGAGTATTATTATAGATCCTTTCTTTGGCAATTTCCTGCTCAAAAGTTCGATATATCTCTAGTGCGGACTTCTTAATCATGCCAATTCATCACATGTCAGTCTCCGTTTCCTTCACTTTCTTCTTAACCGATAGTTTTCTTTGGTTTGGCCACCTGCTGTTTTCTAAGTATTTACCAGTCAATTTCCTGGTTCGCTTACGCCATTTTGTATTGACATTCTTCATGTACAAGTAGCTGAAAACGTTCCTAGCCCAACGCTCCTCCCCCAATTCTCTCAATCGCTTCTCAAATTTTATCTTGCTGCTAGCTTCCCTGCCCTCAAATGATGTCCATCCCATATCACCTTGTACTCCCTGATTTGGTGTATTCCCGTGAGCTCCTAAAGCAAGCCTACCTATTCCCCGTTACTTAATTTCTAATCTTGCTTGAACTTCTGATCTCATGCACAAGACCGCATTGCCGGGCGTCAGACCAGGAACCATGACCCCTTTCCATATTCCTCTGACGACATCATACCTATTGTAATTCCACAGTGCCCTGTTTTTCATTACCGCTGCATTCCTGTTACCTTTAGTCGTAACGTATATTTCGTATTCCCTTAGGTACTCAGCCCCATTGCTTATCCATACGCCCAGATATTTGTATTCATCTGTTATCTCTAGCGTGAGCTCCTGTATTCTAAGCTCACTACCTTCATTGTCATTAAAAATCGTGACTGCTGATTTTTCTTTACTGAATCTGAAATCTAACCTATCTCCCTCATTACCGCAGATGTCCACCAATCTCTGCAAATCTTCTTTGTTGTCGGCCATTAGCACTATTTCATCTGCGTAAATCAATGCTGGTAGTGCCTGTTCAATGAGTTTTCCTTGTTTGACGAAAGAAAGGTTGAAGCCCAGTCCACTTCTCTCTAATTTGGCCTCTAGTAGGTACATCATGAATAATAAGGGTGACAGGGGACACCCCTGCCTAAGCCCCCGTTTGACCTCTGCCGTCTTGGATACCTGTTTTTCCCACTTTATAACTACCTTGTTACCTTTATAGATATCCTTTAAAAGATTAGTGACTACATGTTCCACGCCTAGTGTGTCCAGTATTCCCCCCAATTCCTCTTGAATCACGCTATCGTACACTCCCTTGATATACAAAAATGCTAGCCACAGGAGCCTGTGCTTCTTTTCTGATATTTCGTTGCACTGCGTCAGTGAGAACAGATTGTCTTCCAACCTCCTGTGTTTCCGAAACCCATTCTGCAGTTTCCCAGCACCCCCTCATCCTCTATCCATGCCTGCAATCTTTCTTTTACAATCTGCATCGCCAGCCTGTAGACCACTGATGTCACTGTTATAGGACGGTAGTTGTTTATGTCAGCTTTGTCCCCCTTTCCTTTATAGATCATGCTCATCCTGCTAAGTTTCCATCCATGGGGAGCTTCACCATCGATTATTATTTTGCTCACTGCCTTTCTCAAAGCCTGCTTAGACTTCGGACCTAATGTCTTTATCAGCATAATTGGAATGCCATCTGGGCTTGTTGATGTACTACTAGGAACCCTTTTCTCAGCCCTTTCCCACTCGTGTTGTGAAAATGGATCCATTGCGCCCCTTGATTCATCCTTGTATATTGTGCTGCATAAAGCACTTTTTTGTTGAAATTTTTTGTCACCCTTGTTCTTATATATTCAATAGCTTCGTCCCCTTCTAGCCTAGCACCTTGGGCTGTAGGTATAAACCTCTGCTCTAGGCTCGTCTCATTTCTTAGGGAGTTTAGATGGTTCCAAAATTTCGCAGCTGCCTTTCTGTCTTTCTTATGTATTTCTGCCAGCCACTGAGCTCCCTTTCTTCTAATCCTTTCATTGATCAGAAGGGATGCATCCCTTCTACAGCTTTGAAAGGTTTCCCTTTTTTTTCCACATCATCTGTCGGTTCACCCCGCTGCTTAGCATGTCTGTGTTCCCTAGAGGATTCCTGACGTTTTGCTTTGGCTCTCTTAACTTCCTCATCCCACCAACTTTTGGGTTTGTGTCTTCTTTTCAGGGGTGACTTGTCACGCGTCTCAGCAAGCTCTAGCTCAAACAGTCTAATTAAATTCGTGTATGTCCACACTGTTTTTTATCCTCCGTGATTACTTTGTCAATTTGTTTAGTGGCTGTTTCAGTTTGCCTTTCTGGATAAAAATTTTCCTGTAGTTGCTCATCTTGTCTCCTTCCCACTTTCACTGCTCTTCCAAAACTTAGCTTGATACGTTTGTGATCACTACCCAGACTTCTGGAGCCACCTTCATCTATATGCATTCCCTTGAGCTTATCATACATCCTATGTGACATCATTGCATAATCTATCGTCGACTGCAGCCTTCCTACCTCCCATATCATTTGCCCTTCACACTTCTCGGTACTGTTTCAAATGATCAAATCAAGCCTTTCACACATATCCATGATCATTTTGCCTGTCGGGTCGGTATACTCATCTATATCTTCTATGTGCGCATTCATATCTCCTAATATAATTATCTCGCACTCTCTTCCTAACTCCTGAATGTCCTTTAATATACACTCTACAATTGCCTGGTTTTCTTCTCTGGCCTTTGCTCCCGTCTACAAGTACACGAAACCAAGGAGTGTCATTTGACCTGCCACTTTCCGTTTTAGCCATAAATGTTCCTTGCACTCCTGCTTGACCCTTTGCCAGTCTGTACTTTTATGAATGAATGCCCCAATACCACCCCCCTTTCTGCTGCCTTCTGTTCTATTACAATATTCCCACGCGTAGTCCGGATTATTCGGAGGTTGTTCCATGTCCCTGAGATGTGTTTCTACAAAACCGTATACCATCGGCCTCTCTTCTCTTAGCTGTTCTTCGATCTCTTCCCACTTCAGCCTGTTCCTACCACCCTGCATGTTATTATACCCTATGTCTGAATTGGCTCGGCGGTCGTGGCTACGTCTATTTCTGCCCCGGACTCTACCTATCTTAGATACTGGTGCCACTTTGGAATCGTATCTGTCCATAACACCTGTCAAAGAGTCTCCTTGGTTGTTTTTTTCGTTACTAGCTATCCTGCACCTCGAAGGGCTCGCTTGCCCCCAAAAAAGATACTGCGCGTCCTGCAAGTCGCCAACTCACCTCATGACCCAGCCGCCCATCGAAGTGAATTCTGTCTCGTTGAAAACCTCCCCACCTATCCACCTCTCTGTTTATTTCCACCACCTCGAAGCCTTTCTCTCGACTCATCCGCCATATCTTTTGGTTTGCGTTGACAACCGCTCTTTGCAGGCTGATATCACGCACCGATACCTCCGGTATCGTGCATATCACTACCTGTACCTGATGAGAAGTGGCGCGCATGTTATCGACGCCTTTCGACAGTGTGGTTGCTAGTCCTGCTGTATCTTCATTTAAG